ATAGAGTTATAAATTCAAATTTGAGTGGCTGGTAAAGAACCAAAATGAAATGGCAGAGACAAATTTGAATAGCTGGTTAAAGACTAAAATGGAGGGATAATGACAAATTGAGTAGCTAGTCGGGGACCAAAGTGAAGTGGTAAATCCAAATTTAAGTGACTGGTGAGGAACCAAAATAGAGTGACAAGTTCAAATTAAAGTAGCTAGTGAGAGATCAAAATAATGTGCTAAAGGATAAATTTTTGGTTTGGTTGTGTGAATAAAGAAAAAAAGGAAGCAACAACATAAAACAAAAGCAAAAGGCCAAAAAAATAAAAATAAAACTGATTCAATTTGTTAAAAAAAAAAAAAGAAAAAGAATCGATGATGTGTGCACATGAAGATCAAATCATAGTTGAAGGTTTTGAGTGCATTGAATAAGTTAAAATTATAGAAGAGAATATATGCAATCAATTTGATTCATGCAAGAAAGAGTAATCGGATTACAAGTTTGAATACTACTCTTGTGATCACCATGGAGACAGAAAACTTCACTTTGCTTGGTGCATACTTAATAAGCCCTCAAAACCATGTGATTTTATACATAATTGCTAGTAAATTGGATGTGTCGGTATTTATGGATTTCATGGAATAGTGGATTAAAGTGTACTTGCTATATACTTCTAAAAATCAAAAAGAAATAAAGAACTTAGATGATAACATTTCTTTTGTAAATCAAGCATGTATCATGGTTCGTAACAACTACAAACTTGAATGGGGAGCTAAAGTTGTAACTTTTTGGGACCAACAAGAAGATCTCTATAAAAGCATGGTAGCGAAAGTCACCTCTCCTAGCTTCATAAAAAAAATTATTTATTTGGACGCGTTTTAAAAATTCAAGGGAATTTTATTAAAATAATAGTTGTTATGCGTTTATTTTTCCAATGAAAAAATTCTTGCAAGTTGAAGGCAAAATAATGGTCATAGCTATGAGAGGGGTTGTTGTCTTAATTTTGGCTATAATTTTAGTTGGTTATTAATGATAAAGTTAAAGTGGGGCAGATCGTGTGGTTATTGTCAAGTTTTCTTAGGCTCATGAAGACTCTCATCAACATGAAATAATATTAATATTTGAACTTTTTTCCAAGGACATGGTCCTCAAGAAAGTCTTTTTTTACTTGGTGACAATCCCGTTAGAGGCCTATGTTATACGAAGCACTTATCCTTGTCCATTTCATAATTAAACCAACCTCTTGGGTTGTACAAGATTTAGATCCTTACCTTATTTAATTCTTTTTTATTGCTTAATATATTTTATTTCATATAAAATATTAGACAATGCGAATGTGATTAGGGTTGAGCAAACGGTTCGATTAACCGAAAATCGAATAAAATTGAACCGAATTATGAAATTTGGTTATTTTTTAAATGTAAAATTATACAATATAAAATCGAATCAAAAAATCAAAATTATTTCGGTTCGGTTAGATTTTTAGAAAAAAAATTTCGATTTTGACCGAAAACCAAAATAAATAGTAAAAAATTTCCTAGTTTCTAAATCCCTAACTTTTCAATCTTCATTCTTACTGAAACCGAAATACGTAGATGAGAAGTAAATTTTAAAGACCGTTGGGGTAAGAAAAGAAAGTGACAAGATGTAATTAATTGGGATACGAGTGTGTTTGAATGACGAAATCAATTACACTTGGATCGATTTTCATTAAAGCCCAGTTAAAATCTTCAAGGGCTTTGTGATTGTTTATAAAAAGGATTAATTGATAACAAGATGTTACTTCATTGGCTAGTGGACTAAGTGCTAGTACAAAACATCTCTCTATAATAATTTTTTTTACGAGTAAAATATTTCGGTTAAAATCGAAATATTTCGAAACCAAACCGAATTTATCAAATTTATTTCGGTTCGATTTTGGTTTTTACTTTTCTCAATTCGATTAACCAAAAATCGAACCGAATCGTACAAAACCAAACCGTTTAACCAAATGATCACCCCTAAATGTGATGTATATGGCCAAAGAATCATGGCATAGGCAAAGTGATAGAGATTAGTTTATAAAAGATGTTAATGAGGAATATGACAATCTATAAATGAATTGATGCTTGTGAGGTGGGATAAAGAAAGCTAGTATCTATCTCAAGCTTGATTCTTTTAAAATTTAAATAGGCATATAAACACAAGTTAAAGAAGACTACATAACAAAGTAAATGTGCAAGGTTCATTTAATAGATCATAATTTTTTATTCGAGTATCCGTTTGATGAAAACCTTAAAATTCGGAAAGTTGATTTAGAGGCCTACAACTCGCCGATGACTAGAAACCCATAACGAGATTATTTTTAAGATCAAAATCCACTCCAAAAATTCACTTTCGGAGGGCTTTTAGCAAGTTTGCAAACTTTTTTTTTCTATTTTTTGTGTATCGAAAAGCTCACAACTAGTCTATCACACTCTTCATTATTTACTTATTGTGCAATGATAGACTTATGACAAGCTTACTGCAGTTATTGTCAAATTATTCTTTCTAATTTTATTTTTTTCTATCTTGCTATACATGATTTCACGGACACACTTACCGACTAGGTTGTTTGTGAAGGAAATTAAATGTATATGCTCGATTTTTCCGTAAAATTATTTAACTTAGATAATTTTTATTTTATATTAATCTTGTTGTTTTTCATGGATTTTAACATAGATCCAAGTTACATAACAAATGGATTAAATTAAGGATGGACCTAACTCAACATAAGGTTTTGGAACACAAGAATGGACACAAATATTCTAATAGGCCGGTGTCCATGTCTTTTTGGGATGCATTAGAAAGATTGATTTGGTAGACTCGGAGCAGGATCCACTAAAAGAAAACTCAATTGTTACGTTCTTTATCATTTGCTCGCAAATTGAAGTACTTTAACCCGGAGAATCTAAATCATTCAATCCAAATCGATCGTCTAGTGGATGATGTGACATGATTTTAGTGATAAAATGTTATCTTTCTTCACTATAAATACCAGTATCACATCATTATGAGGGGATCAAAACTTTAAATCATAAATTTTTTTACTTCGAACTTTCAATCTCTAGTAAAAGAAACCCCTTACTCTTCATCTCAAAGCTATACTACTCACACATCAAACAACACCCAAAGCTCCATCTATTTGGACTTTGATTGCCCTTCCGTTAGTCACACGATTTGCACCATGCTAGCATTGTTAGTTTTTCCTCTCACGCATCTCACTATTTACATTTTTTCTGTTTGGTGGGTTAATCATTATTTTTACAAGTCCTAATATTAGTTCTTTGCACCTCGAGTAACTCCGTCGATCGATTGTCCGATCGGCTCTAAAAGAACCTCCTATACATTATGTCTTCAAACCAACATGTGTTTGTCAATTCATATTCCAAGATAATAAAATTTCAACGAATTTGGTATGATAATAATTTTCTTTTTATTTTATTGTATCCTATTTATGAAAAAAGTAGAGATTGAAATTATCTTCATGATTCATAACCATAAACTTATACACGTGTTTTGCTATTATTGATAGGTTTTCAACCCAAGTCAAACATATTAGGCTAGATATATTTTTTTTTAATTTTTGTTGTGTTTTTTAAAGAGATTTGCTAACTAATTCATTTTAATGGGTGAATTAATACGTTTTCGGGAGCTGAATTAGTGTATGCTTCATTAAATCATAAATTCTTATTAGACATAACGATCATATACAAATTTAAGATTCCAAAAGAGCAAAAAAATGAAAAAAATTATGTATAAAAAAAGAATTAAATGGAGTGAAAGCAATGGAAACCTTGTAATTTAATAGAATTGATCATAAACCTGGCTTTTGAAAACATAAAGCAATTACTTATTCCATTCAGCAATGATTTTCTAAAAACAAAAGGAACCAAGTAAGCAATTACACACATATATTTAAAAAAGAAAGAAGGGGAAATATACCTACTCATCTTTAAATAATTTTCGAAGTCTTTAACTGTTTTTATATTTTTAATTAAATCTCATCTCGTTTTTCATAATTTTGAAATATTTAATCTGTTTTTTCGATCAAATTTTTATATCATAATTTTTTTCAATCGAAATTTCCTTCACTAAAATAATAATAATAATAATAATAATAATAAATACCTAAAGTCATATTATCTACATATTTTATTTTTGAAGTTTTTAGATTTTTTTTTCATTTTAATAGAGGGCATTTCGATTAAAAAATTTTATTTTGTCAAAAAAATTAATTAGAAGTACAGATTGAATATTGTAAATATTTTTAAAAAATGAAATGTAATTAAAAAATTAAAGACATATGAAAAATTTTGAATACTATATAAAAATAGATAAATATATTTACCCAAGAAAAAAATTAGGGAAGAAAAAAATAGGAAGAAGTAAAGTTAAGTCTAATAGGTCCAACAACAGTAGCTGGGCTTGCAAGTTGCATCCTTTAATCTCATTCCTTGGTGGCTCCCCTGATTTAAAAGTAAGCAGAGGAAGCTAAGGTTTATTAATTTGGTCCAATCACCTATTGCACTGCTGCAATACCCAGGCTAGTTCGCATTTCTTTTAGACATTCTGTTAATTTTTCAATTTACCTGATATTTTATTGTTAAATTCTATGGAGAAAGGTTGTGTTTTTTTTGGCTTCATGTTCAATGATGCTTTAGAAGTATTTCATCAAATGGTTGCGGTTTACAAAAGCTTGTCCAACTCATTTGCCCAAGCAATGCTGATGATGAAGAGTTGTACTACATTATGATAGTGAAATGTGAATGCTTTGGCTCTTGATGAAGGCGTAAATTATTTGTGGAAAATAATTGAAAAACACAAATATCTTCATTGCATTTTCAGTACAGGCGAAGAGCAAAATATTGATTTCTTTTATTAGGAAAAAAAAAAAAGGAAAAAAAGATGTATGTCACGAGACATAGCGATCATCAGCTGTGGACACTTTCAGATTCAAGAGCAGGACGCTGACCCTACTAGCAGGACACTGTTAAGAAGGAGACGGAGAGACAACATCCATGAACTCCTTATCAGATTCAAGAGCAGTCATTTCATCAGGGGAGAGGCAAATCTCCAACTCTATACTTCCACCACCTTCGTGTCCAGGATAAGCTGATGCTTTCCCGCTGAACTTATGTGCATATCCACTGCGAAGTGCCAAAGCCTTCCCCAACCCAAATTCATTCCCATACTTATTGAATCTTGGTGAACTCCCCATCATCACACTATGTGGATCAAACAACTTGTCTATCTGGTAGATAAACCGAGACTTTAACCACAAGTTTAGAAACTCCCTCACCTTTTCATCGCTGTGGTTCACCACAGCTTGGTGTAATTGCCAAGCTGCCCATCCAAGATTCTGCTCCAGTAACTCACCTGCTGTGGCAGACCCAGCTTTCAGTGCCTGAATTGAGTTTCCAAAGTAGTCAGGAGATAATGGTGGATTCAATCTTGACCGATTATTGATAGCCAATCTGCAACAGGTTACTTGATCATGCGGTAGATTGCGTGCGCGTGTTATGCATCTCCAAACAAGAGCAGACAAGGACTGGAAAGATGAAATCTTGTTGGTGTTGAACTCTGCATTGGCTTTTGCTTTGAGTTTTGCAATTGATTCTGATGAGAAGTGAAACATCCTTTCTTTAAGTAGAGGTCCTTCAAATGGGCTTAAGAATTGGTCATGGTGGGTAAAAGGAAGATTTAGTACTGGACCATGCCCATCAGGAAACCAGCGGCTGAGAACGGGTGGGCGCGAGATGGATTTATCATCTCCTTTCCCTTGAAAGATTTCAGACCACATGTTAAAGAAATGCCAGAAAGAGGCTCCATCAACGATACTGTGATTAATGGAACATCCAATGAAGATGCCATCAATTAGCTCTGTCACTTGAATCGTTAGCAAAGACTTGGTGTGACCATCATGGTTGAGGGCTCTATCATGGTCAAAGAATGACTGAAGAACTAATGGCACATAAGTAGGTGAAAGAACATCGGATGTAGTCAGGTCAACGGTTGCATAGGTAAATCTAGCTCCTGGACTGTGGTTGCAGTCCACAAAGACCACATAGGAAGGTGGGTTTTCACTCTGTGATGTTGCAAGGCGTCCGGCAAGTGGGTAGAAATGAACAAGAGTGAGAGAGAGGGACTGCTTGAGATGTTCCAAGAAATCCATGATCTTGAAGTCCTGTTGATTTGTTGTTTTTGGTGGCTTGGCAAAGAGAAGTCCCTTTTGGATATATTGAACAGAGAGCATAACAAGATCCCATGGTGCCAAATAATAAGGCTGTTTCGCTTCTTCTACGATGTGTTTGGGCTTGATAAAGCACTCTGAAATGTGTGTGACAATAGGAGGATTCATTGCAAGAAGGGCACTGACTGGTTTCTCTTCTGCCTATCTTGCCCACTTCAGATTTCCAGCTTCAGCTTTTATAGCCGCAGCTAAGTCCTCTCCCAGTCCTCTATTCATATGCTCTGTATGTAGTTTCACCTACTTCCCATTTGACAATTTCAATCTGCAACTGTTGTTGTGTAAATGTCAAAATTGGAAAAGAAAGAACAACAATAGCAAGTTAAAAGTAAAAGACCCGTAGCTGTTATGGAGGTGCTTAACTATTCTGGTGTGGATTGACCAACACCAAAGATAAAGACTACAGTTATATTATATAACGGTCGGTTTCGATTTCGAAGCACCTCGATACCTTTATTTTACTATTTCAATAAGTTGTGATACGTGATGATGATTATGAGCGTTTTTTAAATCGTTAGCGATTTAAAACTATAAGTGAAAGTGAATTAATCCAAATAAGTACAACAATTTCAACCAAAATACCAACCCTTCTCCTATGACCTTTCCTCGATCCTGCGGTGGTTGAGAACGGATATTGTTGATGGCCTATTATTTTAATAAACGATCAAAGCTGATTACATCATTTGCTTCTTTGATATGGATGTTCACCTACGGCACTGACAAGCCAAATCAAGATCTATTTACAAATCCACGGGGGCAAGAAAATTTGCTTCAGTCTTATATCCATATAATCAAGTAATTTACAACAATTTGCTGCTAATCTATTCTATTTTTTTCCCCCTTCCTTGATGATGTGAACCCAACTTCTGCATTTCAAATGCCAAATGGTTAAACATTGAATGAATAATTAACATATTTCATGCAATTGTTGTGGGAGAAGGATGTGCCACACTGTGTATCCGCCACTTGTCTCTATTCCTTTCGTTGAGAATCTAGCTCTCTCCATATGCTGCAAGTTTTGTCAATATAGTCCTGCTGCGAAAATGACTGATGCTGCCTTCACTGCTTCTCCTACCTTTTGGTATCTTAGAGCTATTTATTAGCTTGGGATATCAAATCTTCAGCACGTGATCGGTTTCTTTTGAAGACTTCGATTAATGGCACCGCACGTTATGGTTGGTTTAGAATTTTGACATCCTCTGTGGTCACGGGTCTGTTTTTAAGCAGTTTCTTATTGGTAATCGTCTTTGCTCTCATGTTTAAGTGCTTAACTAGTTATTCTGCTATATAGTTCCTGTACTCAGTTTCTTAATTAATTATGATCTAATTCGTAAGAAAAAAGTCGGATGCAATTACCACTTAAATCATAGTACAAGGACTTAAAACATAATGGTCTATAATGAACAGATACAAGCGCTGAAAGTTTTGTGCTGCCAAGCCATGATTCTGTCAATTTGTGGCGCAGCCAAGATGTGGACTGGACATGACAAAATAAGCGTTAAAGTATTCGGTGCACCCGTCCTGTCCAAAGCTGTTGTAAAAACAAAATTCGCTTCCCACTAATCATTATTTTGCAATTTTTTATATTTATATGTTTATCTTTCATTTCTTTTTTAATTTGGTTGACTAAAGTTTGATAAAATTTATCTATATTTTGTTAAAATGAATTATTACATGTAAAGGCTAAATTGCAAAAAAAAAAAAATTCTAATTGAGTGACTAAATTATACAGCCAAAAAAGTAGAGAGCCAACAAAAATCTCATTAAGGATTCAATTATCATAAAAATAAAATGTTAAAACTTTTTAAGGACCAAAATAATTTTTTTGCAAAACTTCATCTTTCTTTGTCCTCTATAGCGTACCATACACATGACAAATCTAATCCAATTAAGTCTCATCTATTATCCAATCAATCTAATTCAATTCAGTCTCATTTCATTTGTCACATCTTATCCTTTTTATCAAATACACTTTCAAGAAACAAGCTTAAATAGCTGGATACTCCAATATAAATAGCTAGATTCTCTCTTTATCATCATCATCATTATTATCTAACATGAAAAGGGGTAAATTATAAATTAGTTTCTTTATTTTTGAAAAATGAATTAATTAATTTTTTATTTTAAAAACTAATTATTTAATTATTTTCATCCATTTTATGTTATTTTTTTATTTATTTTGTTTTAAAAAAATAAAAATAAAAATAGATATATATTATGAAAATAATGATGAAATTTTTTTAAAAAAGATAAAATAATATTAAATTAAAGTGGTTATCATTGATTTTTAAAGAAACAAATAATTTTTTTTTGAAATAAAAAGATTAATTCATCCATTTCATTTTAAAGGACTAAATTATTTATTCCTTTAAAAATGGAACATCAAAAGAAGGTGCCATCGATTAGCTCTATCGCTTGAAATTGAATCCTTAGCAAAGACTTGATGTGACCATCGTGGCTGACTCTATCGTGGTCAAAGAATGACAGAACATCTAATGGCACATGAGGTGGGTTTTTGTTCCGCGTTGTTGTCGGGCGCCCGGCTAGTGGGTAGAAATGAATAAATTATTACATTACTAAAGACTCTACAAAGACGTGAGGTTTTAACTGTTTATAGACTGTTTATTGTGAAGACTTTAAAAGATGTGAGGTTTTAACTATTTATAGACTGTTCATTGTAACTCAATTGGTTGTTCACCAAGACTCAGCCGAACTGTGTTCGTTCTATTGATCAGCCAGCACCGTTCGATCGTCGCATTGTTATTGTTAGCGTTCTTTCAACCGTTGGGGATCCCCCATAGGATGTGTTTTTCAGACAATTTAAATATTTCACTTGCATTCGTTTTGGATCCATTCAAACATTGCTTTTCATCCTTATATTTTCTGCATCTTCACTTTTGGTTCTTATGAGTTGTTTTTCCCGCCCTTCTTTTTTCTCTTTATTAACGTTTTCTGCCATTAGGTGGTTCTGTTATTACTCTATAGCCCTTTTTTCTTTAATTTTTCTGTCCAACTTGCATGCCTTTTTTTGTAACTTCCCAGAACCATTATTTGAGCATTTAATGCACCTTTTTTAGATGTTCGGTCCCTGTCAACATTGTTTATTTGGTCCTTTGTTTTCTTTGTGTTATCCTTTCGTCCCTCTAAGCTTGGGTTTTCTGCCCTCATTTACCTCATGTGCCATTTGAATGGGTCTGTAGTTATCTTTTTACCTTTCATTTCTTTTTTTATTTCCTGCTTTTCAAGACCTTTTTTGTCATTTTCTTATTCCATCAGCCAAAGCATTTAATGCCTTTGTTTTTGGCTTTTGTGTAAACTTTGACTTGCTAAACTTTTTGTTTGTTTATTTGTGAAAAATAATTACCTTTCATTTGAAAACCAACCATCATTTACCATTTTTATCTCAAGGGTAAAATCTTGCTTTCTCTTTCTTTGCTTCGTATTCTTTTAAATCCCCATCTTTGGTTTCTCTCTCACGAATGCAATGATAGAATTAGAAACACTTTTAAAATTATTTTGCTCTTAGTTTTTTTTGGTTCGAGGAATTTAAATTTAAATTTTAAAACTCATTTGTCTGAGCTCAAGATCGCATGAATTGAGGTGAAATTCTTAATTCATTCTCCTCAAGTTTTTTCCAGTTTATAGGTTCTCCTGTTCATACTAATAAAATTTGTTGAAGATTGTAATCTACACATTGATAGGTGGCGTGGTGGTAGCTCAAAGTCCATCTGGTCATCATCTAGGAAGAGACTAATATGCTTAGACTGAAGGAATTTTTTATTAATAAAGCAAACTAACCTGTTGTATTTTGCAACAACTAGCAGTTTGCATTCTTTCCTTTTCCTTAATGTAAGGGAAAATTTGAGAAAATTTTAACTACATTATATTGTCAAAGAACTACTAAATAGTATTACAAAAAAAGAAGCTATTTTATCATATTTATTTTATTAATTTTTTAATGATTTTTAAATTTTTATTTTTTGGGTTATATTAAAATATTTCATAAACTTTAGACATAAAATTAAAATTTGCACCAAGTGAAACAAAAACAAAAGATATAGAATATAATTGAAACAAATCAAAAGTTTTAATAGAATTGAGAAAACACCCAAAATTTAGGGAAAACAAATTAAAATTTACCCTTATAATAATGCTAATCCTAATTTTTCTTCGTTTACAGCCCTGCTTTCTTTTGAAGGGTTAAAAGTGCCTTTTTGTTTTTGTTTTTTTTTTTTGAAGAAGAAGAATTCTTCAAACCCGTTCGGTAACCGAAATTTGAATGTGTGACCCAACATTCAAAATCAAATCTATTATATAAAAGACTGATGGGTTATAAAAAGCTTAAGGAAATTTATCAATAATAATTTTAGCTTTAGAATTTTAAAGCATAATTATATCACATTCATGGGTTTAGGTTATTACAAGAAGGTGATACTGTAAGGTCTTTGTAACTGTTGAATATAATTTTTTATTGGTTAAATTCTATTGTATGTATTAGCAAATGTCAAAGGAATAAATATGTTGTTTCTCACATGCGTTTTGCCCTGTACTTTGATTATTTCTTTGTAATAAGTACAGTTTTCCTAGAAAATGATAATTTCAGCCCCACAAGTATTTTTAATTAGATGATTATGACGATTTTATTGTTGAGCCAATCTATTTCTTCAAAATCAAAATTTTTTTTTCATAAACGAAGTTTCATCTTTTAATCTACTAAATAGACCCATACCGATAATGTGATGTAATTTTAAAGGAGGGCTATGTAACGTGAATGAAAAATACACGAGATTTGTTTGAGGAGAGGCAAAGTAATATAATATAATATAATATAAATAATTCTAGAAAAAAATGATGTGGCCAACAATCTAAAGAAATGGCACCCATCTTCCATAAAGTCGAGGTTTCCGTACGAATGACATTTATTAAACTCACATTAACACTTAACATTAATAGAAAAAAATTCAGAAATGTTGTACTATCAATATTCATTAAGACTCAATTTACTACAAACCAAGACTTATTTCTATTATGTTGCTTTTTTTTGTGGTTGGCTAACAAGTTTAAGTGTTCTTTTTTTTTCTCATTTTTTAATTTATTTACATATAATGTTCAATAAGTCATTGCTGACTATTTCATATAAAATTAATTTATAATATGTAAACATTACATGTCACTTTTTATTTGTGCTGTTTTTTTGCAAAATCTTGCAACATGTCCTCTGTTATTTGACATACATCCATAAATGAATACCAATGAATTACTCATCAATATCTAAGATCAAATATTTTTACTTTAATCCTTACATGAAAACAAAGTTCTCATCAAATAAATAAAAAATATTATAGATATAGTAATGTCCATTGATATTCTAAATTATTGGATAAAACATTTTAGCGTTTGCTTAACAATTTTTATTTGACTCAGCCGAGTGACTCACCCTCTATAAATAATATTCAACAACCTACGGCGTCGCGCAGGATGCTAACTAGTAGAAACTAAAACGCATGAGTGGTTGACTGGTCATCTCTTAGTCATACACACACGCAAAGCACTGTGGAACCATTTCAATTTTTATTTCTTATTCCCTCCACCTTTTAGCTTTAACTATCCTTTTCGTCTTTCCCCACCCTTTTCACCCTGATATGCTCCTGTCTCATTTTTCCTTTTTCTATTTTTCTCTTCAGCATCGCACCTTTCCTCATGCTAGTGAAAACCATTTCAAGGAGATGGAATTGTTTGGAAAACCTTATATTATAGGGTATCGTAGAAAATGTCTTTCCTTTGCACCTTTTCATCTTATTTCATGTCATGCGATATTTTTTTAACCACCCGCCTGCAAGGAAAACAATTTATAAACAAGTAAATTATATCAATTGATATGCTTGAAAAGAAATAGTGAAAACGAATATTAATGACATGATATAAAGAGAGATTTATTAAAAGAATATGTCATTAAGGGTAAAAATTAAAAAACTCTCTATGTTCGAATATTAAATTGTTTTTTTACATACAATCGAAGAACATGCATTTTCAATTACTAGAAATACATAAAAAAATTTAATTAAATAGAAATAGGTTTTAAGCATCTAATCATGTCACATCAAAGGATAAATCATTGCAACTATAATCAAATTACTAGTGAATTATATCAATATTCATAGGTTTTTCAATTTCATGTCGAAACTATCAATGACTAAGGAATAGATTATTAGATATTTTTCCATCATACAACTTCATATAAGTCTCACTTCCATGAAATAATCCTAACTAGCAAAGGCTTCGAGTTACTGATCCCGATCTTGTTCTCTCTCTATAATACATACTACTATTTATTATCGTTTTTACAAATATATAGATATACTCAAAATCTGATCGGGTCTTCCTTCTTTTTAATAATTGACTTAACCATATAAGTATCTCTAAACTCATCGAAAAGACTTTTCTTGTAGATAGTTTAAGCAAAAAAAATCTCCACCAATCGACAATCTTCGTCGTTGAATCATTAGCCATAAAAATCACGGAACCATTCATTACTATTTAAGTTTTAGGGACTCGTCACTAATATACTTAATAAGAGGTGAACTTAAACCCAAAAGATTTTTAGCGTAAGGTTTTGAACTCTTTGCCAAGGCACGGACAGTATGCTTTTGATCAAATTTCTCGTTATTGCTGATGGCTGTGAATGATTTATTGATTAAATTAAAAGGACCAAATCCAAGCATGCATTCGCTTCTTCGCTCTGACCATCTTGCCTACCTACATTATGCGCCCAACTTCAACATCCATTTGCAAATCCATGAGAGAGAAAATCTGCTCCAGTCCAATGTGTAGCCTGGGGCGGCGGGGCGGTTGCGGAATGTGCCTACATTAATTAACTAACTACAACTATGATTTCAGTTCATTGGTTCAAATTTAGAGCTCATAGCCAGAATCTTCCTATAGACTTACAAGAGCCGAATATCTTAAAAGAGAGACGACCTTGCAAAGTAGTGATGGTACGCAAAGGAAGCATGATGGCCTCACCAATCAAGGAGAGATCCGTAACACAATTCACCAGCAGAGATGACTTGCAAGTTACACCACCTAGCAGCCTACCACATCCAAACTTATCTCATCCATGGGTAGAGAGCGCAAGTGTTTTCATTGCCTAAACTGTTGCCTACCAAGAGTAAAATGCTCAACTACCTGCACCCTCATACAATATGAGACATATCAATCATTTAACACCTTCTCACTCCAAATTAATAGAGATGATTTCGAGAACAACTGCAGCTTTAGTATCATATTCCAAAGTAAAATGTTCCACAGGCCCGCAATAGTATTTCCCTACAAGTGAAACAGATTAAGAAATGCATGCCAAAATTAACGTCAACAGGCGGCCAGTATTACGCAAACTAAAGCAGAATCGAATAAAGAATTGTCAAATGAGTAGAACAAAACACTCCCAACAAGACACAAGGAAAATCCATAAAGTCTACCAAATATTCGGGAATCGTGCACAACGTAAATGATACACACCAAGAATTCCAAATTTCAACCCCTGCATAAACCTAAAACCACATACTGAAAGTGAACTTTCTGCCAATAAAACTAGGACTAGATTTTGCAAAACCAGTCTGATGCACTCTTTCCTAATCCACCAAACACTTAAGGGACGAGATTGTCATTCAGAGAGAGAGAGGCAAGCTGGTCCGCTGGACTGTTGATCTGCTGTTGAGCAGCTACAGTCCTAAGGACCTCCATAGCCTCTGCCACTTTTGCCTTCAAAGCCTCTGGTGACTCAAGAAGGTGCAAAACCTCGGTTTGATCCATCTCTAGAAGCATGCCTGTAACCTTGGCTGCTGAATCATGCTCCAGCTGATCCACCAAGGGGTAAAGACTTTCACCCAGCATCTGAAAACCAAGAAAATAAGATAAAACTCTCGGCTGAATTAATCAATGGAACAGGTGAAGTTAGTATTGGCAAAAAAGCTACGTAGACCCACCGTCCTCTGCTGTTCAGGTGATGCATTTGCAAGGGCTGTCGCTAAAGCAGTAATGGGCATGGGCTGTCCGCCAGCAGCATCTCGTATTGGCATGCCACCCATGTCATAAGGAACAGAAAGCATGCCACCAGCAACACCTGGCATCGGAACATCTGGCATGTTTCGGCCGGGAGGGTAACGATAGACACGTCCCCTAGGAAGCATCTGGGAAATACAAAAAGGATAGTACTTCTGATATAAAGAATATGGGAAACATGAACATGATAAATTAAAATTGTCTTCTACTGACCTGTTGCTGCATGAGGGGGACTGGTTGTTGGGTCTGTTGAACAGGACCACCTCCACGCCGCCCTCCAGGGCGCTGGCCTTGCTGGCCCTGCTGAACCATAGGCACAAAGAAGTTTGGCATTGGAGCTCCACCAGGCCTCATTCCAGGGACAAGTTGCTGTTGGTAGCCAAATCCAGCCTAAAAAATTAAGAGATTCAATACCAGCATCCGAACTTGCTCATTATTGCAAGTGTTGGATCTCATGTGTTTTAAATGCCAAGTAAACATGCAATCTCATTCTGCCAGTCGAGATTTATGCTAATGGTCACTTCAACTTCAAAATAGAAAAGAACAAAAAAACAAAAAAAAACAAAAAAAAACAAAGAAAAGAAAAAGAAAAAAGAAAGAAAGAATGATTTCCTAGCAATAAAAGCATAATACATCTCAGATGCTCAAGCTGCAGAGCTCATATCATGGACATCTTGAGCTCAGCTTCAAGCCTCAAAACTTATTAACTCCAAGCCAACTATCTTGCAGGATTTTCAACAAAGTCCGTCCCAGTTATGTTAAAACTAATTAGACAATCACAGTCAAAGGCAGGTTCAGAAGTTATTAGAATCTAATGAAATGTATTAATCTCCATTTGATTAAAACACAGAATGAGAGACATCGCAAAATGTTGAACGAGTCTCAATAAAAAACTCTAAAACATTTATCTGTGGGTGCATTCCACACCCCAACTGACAGCATATTTTCCTGATTACATCAAGGTAAAATCCCTAAATCGAACGTTTGTGTCAATTACTCATTTTTACCCCTTTTGTTTTAATTGATCAGTTGACCCTTGGGTTTTCAGAGTACATTCAATTATCCGTTTAGATTACTCTCCCTGCTAACAAAACTATGATGACGTGAAGACAAGGGAGGCTGGAGTACTGACATTGACAGAATTTATCAAAATTATGCTAATTTGACAGGAAAAAAAAAAGACCTTTCAAATTAAATCCCAGAAACAACCAGGAACGCAAGGTATATATTATTCTTTGTTTATTTATAAGGTTGTTATTATAAAACATAAAAAGGTACCCTCATCTGCAAATTGTCTCTTTCTTATATATTATTTTTTTGTTTATTTATACATATTTTTTGATTGAGGTGCTTATTATTAAACATAAAAAGGTATCCTCATCTGCAAATTCTCTCATTCTTTTCCAAATTAATTTAGTTTTTCACTTTCCGAGCTTTTGTAAAAAAAAAAATAGCAAGGAACCATTATAGAAAAACCCATTAAAGACTATAATCTCCTTCCACAATGAAAAGAAGGCATATACTTCCCACCCTATCTATCATCATCCTCTCTTACATCATTGTGTCTAGCTATATATTTTTGTTGGGCCTCACTTTGCTTATTATCTAAGTATTTTGTTGTTTCTAGAGGTTCTGGAATATGGGACTTACAACAATGGCTGATTTGGAGAGGCAATGGAGGCTAATGTGTGATATCTATACCTCTTTCTAATGGTTGTTCCAGCACTAGTGTTCTCTCTTTCAAAAGACCCTCACCTTCAATTCACGCTTCTAATTCTTCATTGGATTCCTCTAACGCTGCAGCCCTGAGAACCTAATTTATGGGTTTGAGTTGATCTCAATCGGAGAACAAAGAAAATTTTGTCGGTATCTTGTTGCAATTTCTGAGCTTGCGTTAAAAAAATTATAGGTTTGTATTTTGATTGTTCTATTTCCATTTTTATTTTATTGTTGATTTATTTTTTTGTTTTTTCTGTATTACAATTAGCTTAAGACTTTATAATTCTAGCTAAGTCAGCACTCCAACACCACTTATTGACACATCATCATAGTAGATGGAAAAGAATGGACAAAAGTTTGCAAAGGGTAGATATGAATAATAGACACAACACAGTATATATCAACGGATTTTGCCTTACATTAATTGTTGTAATTACATCATGCTTGGCAATACAATCTTCCAACTACTAGGAATGAAAAGTTACCAACACCTCATATAATGAAATAATGAACATTAAGGCTAGGAAAGGTGAAAAATTCTAGCAAATATTGGAGGGAAAAAGTAAGATCACAAAACGATGCTGGAAGACTTTTCAAGTGTATTCTTAATAGTTCCCAAAAATCAAGAGGGAAGGGTATTACAAAAAGGGTAGCAAGCATTTCTAATATAAAATGAACAATCATTCTAAATGCATAGAGACATTGACTAGAAGAACCAAAATAATTGAGAACAGTATGGTAAGCATGACAAAAAATGTGCAGAGAAGTTACCTGTGGAGGAATTATGGCTGGAGGGCCTTGCCCATACAGAAATTGTTGTCCCATACCAGGAGCACCAGGAGGATACATTGGCATACGAGGAGCAACTGAAGGAGCCATGGCAACTGGCCGCATTTGAGAAAATTGTGCCTGCATGAAACCAGACGTGAAAAACAAAGGCACAAACAACCATAGTAACTGCAAACTTCAATTGAATTACATTCAGCAGCATGGAAGAGATGCCACGTCCAATAGACAATAAACGGCAATAATTACCTACCTTTTTCCTTACCAACAATTGCATCTACTTTTACATGTTATATAGATATCTTCTAATAGCTAAAAGATCTGATCATGCATGTATCAGATAATGATAAGAATCATGATAACATAACCTTAATATCATTACCTTTCAGGGAGAGGGGCATCTGTATGATCTTGTCAGAAGCAATGAGAATATCCAAGAGAAACAATCTATTCTGAAGTTCATACACTTCCCTTGGGAAAACTATGAACCCGTTTGAAGAGAATGTATAAATAAATATCTTTCAATAAAAAGAAAAATCTAGAATGAAAAAGAAAAGCTGCCAAAAGGACAAAAGCACAATAAAAATACAGTACATAATAAGTACAGTTATCTATTAAAAAAGCCTTTCAAGCAGCCAGAACATCCAAATTATCAAAAAAAAGACAATAAGTAACTTGGAGGATCCAAAATGGAATAGTAGAATGTTTTCAACAAAAACATCATTTGTCCATTTGCACCCAAAAAATAGTACCTGAAGTCTTGCTCTTCTCTCTTCCTTCCGTTGAGCAAGGGCAACATATAGAGGTTTGCTGACAACCATTTTGCCATTCATCTCAGCAAGCTGTAGAGAAGCAACAAGGATGAACATTAACTTTGATCACAGAGTGGCAGCCATAAAGATCATAACTTACAGCTCGAGATGCTTCTTCGGGGGTTGAGAAAGCAACAAATCCAGAACCTCTGCTAATACCACCAGGGTCACGCATGACCTGTAAATTTTGAGAAGTGAAAAATGTTTGAACCATCAACATCCATGGGTAAAAAGAGATAAGAAGGGCTAATTTCCAACATATAGAGAGAGTATTTCTATACCTTGCATGAAGTAATAGTGCCAAAGTCAGAGAACAATTCCTTCAGTTTTTCATCATTAATGCTGTCATCTAGATTCTTGATATACAAATTCACGCCTTGGTATTTGTCAACAGTCTCCTTAATAGTCTGCTCAAATCGCCCTTTCAATTCAAGCTCTCTTTCAGATTTTTTCTGGGCTTTACCAACATACCACTCACTATCATCAATTTTCTTGCCATTAAGAGCCTCAACGGCTATGGCAGCATCATCTGCATTTTCAAAGTTAACAAATCCAAAACATTTTGATTTCCCATCAGCATCCCTCATCACGACAGCACTAGTAATTGCTCCATGTTCACCAAAAATATTCTTCAAATCTTCATCTGTTGTGGATTCTGCGAGATTTTTCACATAAACATTGTTGAATTTTATGTTACTTAGAGCACTGTCTCTGTCCTGCTTGCGAAGAAAGTGTCCAACATATACTTGTTTATCATTAATCAACATTCCATTTAATTTATCTATTGCATTTTGGGCAGCCTCCTCACTGTCAAATTGTACAAAACCGTAGCCTTTGGACTGGCCAGAAGCATCAGTAGCAACTTTGCAAGAAAGAATAATGCCAAATGAAGAAAATGTGTCGTGTAAAGCTTTGTGATCAAGAGCCTTGTCCAGGTTCTGCAGTCCCCAAAACACAAATCAGAATAAAAGGTCAAAACTAGTCCAATGCATCACAAAAGAGAAGCAACAACAAAAACCAACGCAGAACCAAGGCAATTTTGTTTTCAGAATGTAGTTCTACGGAAGTCTAAAAAGGATCCACATAAAGCTTTACAAATTGAAGAATGAATACATTCCAAGCATAATGAAAAAATTAAATCCAGGCAGCCAAAATAACCATCAGTTGCATTAAAATAAAAAGAAAAGCCAAACAGAGTGGTGAGCGTGAATCTGAATACCTTGATAAATATATTTGCCATGCCACTCTTACGGATACTTGGGTCCCGATGGGAATACATGATCCTGATAGGCTTGTTATTGAGTGGAGCGAAGTTCAAGACATCCAATGCCCTTGCAGCTGTAGATGAGCAAATAGATAAATGTTGTAAGGAATGAAAGTAAGACAATTATGAGCTTCAAGTGTTGAAGTCGCGAAAGTGAGTGTGGATGTGCATTGTCAACATAGGCACTGACCAGGGATACCTTGATAATAGAGTAAAAGATCAGCAAACTTCTATAGTTTGATTCTCGAATGACCACACACATGAAATGCACAAAAAACCATATAGCTTCAATAGCTAGGAGACTACATTACAAGTTCAAATCATCTTACACAAACTTCAAATCAATTGCTCCCACCTCCACCTTCTGTTGAATTATGGATGTCTCCCCTTACTATCTTTAATCTAATCTCTAGATTTGCATTGACAAATGTGAAACTGTTGCATTCCGGGGAATGGACAAGATTGAGGGAGCCAGTGAGCTTACTGTGTATTACCACACCTACATCCTAACTTTCATACATGGATTATACTTTATGGACACGTTATTCCTTTACTGTCCGAAATTCTTATCACAAACCTACAAAATCTCATCCATTTAATCAAACCAGTTGTACTTCCAAAATTAAAATCTTACTCAATCTCTCTTTTTTATCAACAAGAGGCTAGGGATTTTATCGACGAGGCAAGAGAGCATAAAAAAGGAAGGTTAGGCAGTTGATCCGCACCCACAGCAATTCATAACAGCTCAAATAAGGAGAAAGCTAATTTATGCAATAATTTAGTTGAAAAGAATTAAATTAATCACTCCTAATAACAAAAGTCCCTCTACGACCATGCAGTCTCACCCTACCCGATCCATATAAGTTTAAAAATTATACAGATTCCTAATTAACCTAAAGCTACTGGACTTTATACCATATCTTCATAGCTCTTATCTTCTCAGTTGGTACCTCAACTTAATATCATCTATGGATTTTAACGAATAGCAGACCAAAAAAAGAGTCTCCCTATCTTAAACAATATTTATAGTGAAGCCTTGAATTATTGGACAACCACACAGAGTGAAGGGAAAAAAACACTTCAACTAGGTGAAAATAGATTTTGTCAAGCACACCAGCAGAAGTAGTTTGCATCTTTGCATCTCCGGGAGCCCTACTCCTTCCATCCATGTTAGTCAAGAGCTTTATACACACTCATCAATCTCTAGGTGACACTGGATACATGGTGAACATTTATGACATAGAAAAATCCATACTAACAAACAGCGTTTGATATAACAAAAATATAAACATTTCAATAACAATTAATTATCAACCCAAGTTAAGAGAAAATTCACATATAACTATCTTCAGCTAGATGATCAATTAAACAAATTCAGCAGCATAAATATCCAGTACAATCTTACAAAAGTAATCCACGCATTAACAATTTTCAGTAACGAAAAATATTTCCACTCCAATTCCCATAACATCTTAAAATAAAAAATGGAATTAAAAATAAATTAAGTCGGGAAAAATGCTAACCATCCTGAGGGTTGCTATAGTTAACATAACCATAGCCAAGAGATCGCCTGGTGCTCAAATCCCTACAAACCCTAACCGAAACCACCTGGCCGACCTGATTAAACAGATCGTAAAGCTGCGAATCAGTCACGTTGAAGTCAAGATCTCCAACATAAAGCGAAGTAGGCACAAACTGGATCGCTCCAGGTCCCGCCGCCACTCCGTTGGGTCCAGGCACCGGTGCACCCGCTTGATGAACCTGAATCTGCGCCATCTCAAATAAAAAAACACAGGCCTTCTGGATCCTTCAAATAGTTGCAATGTTTTCTCTTTTTTTGTTGATTTTTTTTGTTTCCCTCTCCTCTTTTATTATTAAATTAAAACCTAGAGAGATCGAAAAAACACACACAGGATTGTAAACCGGTAATCTAAGAAGTAAAAGTGTAAATTTGGGAATTTTTTGGGGTAATTTTGGGATATAAAGAGGAGAGGGAGCGGTAAAAAGGGGATAGAATCGTCGGACGGAACCGGACGGGAAGCGACAGAGAAAAGGAGAGATTTTTTTGGGTTTTTTGGGTGGGAGGGCAGAACAAACTGCACCGCACCAGCAAAGCGGTAACTGTGTAGTTTATATAGTGAGGTTAGTGGGAGAAGGAACCCTAGTTTGGCTTCTAGAGAGACTTTAATTTCTGGCCGTTGGATCCTGTCGGGGCCCATGGTTTGAGGTTTGATCGAACGGTTATTATTAAAAGCTGGTCGTGGTGACTATGGAAAGTAAGGTATGTTACATTAACCATTTAGCACACGGATTACACGTAGTGAGCTGCTTGTATTTTCTTCCTCCCCTTTTTATTTTTGATCATGTTACAGTGCATGCTTTATCGACTTACAGTGCATGCTTTATCGACTATTGTTTGAATGATTTTTTGTCTAAGTAATTTATTAAAAGTCTTGGCTAGTTATAATTGATAAAATTGCTTACATAAGCCATTGATTGGGATACAAATTTTCTTCATATACAAAAAGAAAGAATAAAGAATAATAAATGTGTTAGATGCATTGAGAAATTTATCATAAATGTGGACGCATAAAAAATATGATTTTTATTGTTGAATTCCATAAACCAAACATTTTAATTATTAGAAACTTGATTTGATTGGCAACCATGTTTGCTTCCTGGGTTATAATCTAATACTTTAATCTTAAAAAATGGTAAAAAAGTAATTGTCTTATGAAGACATCAATTCGAATGTTCATAAATTTTTTAAGATCTTATTGGAAAGTGATTTGGTTTTTTATCCAATGATTTTTTTTTTAGAAAAACAGTAATTTTCGTATAAGAAAATAGATTTGACAAATAGTTTACGGTATTGGTGAATTCTATAGTCTTTTAGACAACCTCTAATTCTTTTATTGACAATAAATAAATTTAAAAAAAAATTCTAGCTTGGATTTCTTTAAAAATAATATTTTTTTTTCACATAGGCATGCATACAATTATCATGCTATAACCGATCAACGCGGAAATCGGACCACACTTTTATCAATGAAAAATATTAATGATCCAGCATTATTTATGGATGTCAATTTCTTTCAAATAATAAGGTAAGATTTCAAAATTTAAATGATCTAGTCTCGTAGATCTAGAGATATAAAATTTTTATTTAGATAGCGAATCATATTTACAAATTAAATATGAAAAGATCAGGTCATGGTGATAATGAAAAATCAAAAGGATGCAAAAAAATGTCTTCCATATAAAAAATAAAAATAAATAAATAAAAGCGTAGTATGCTTTAATTTCTTTATGAAAAAATTGATTATAAAACTTATCAATAGAAAATAAATTTCGTGTAAATAATAAAGTAGTCTATCTATTTTTGAGAAATAAATTCATTATTTATTCTACTTACTAGTGTCAACAACACTTAATTTAACACTATTTTATTTTATTTTATTTTATTTTTCAAAAAAAATGCACGGAGAAAACTCGTTCAACGGGAAAGATAAAGATCACAAGCATTGGCATCGTGGGGTTTTAAAAGGTCCAAAACCCAACAATTTAAGAATTATGAACCTGTATGAACTTCTAGCCGAAAGAAACAAGTATTTGCATCCGTGCTAGTTCAGATCAAATCCAAACGACAGACATACATCGGCCTTAATGCCGAAGTAAAAGCCGATAACGATGTCCTCAGTGGCCCAACATAAGTTTTGGTGCATTTGAACCGGCCCAGTCCCATGATCTTTTTTCCTTTTTGTTCTTGATGCTTATCAAGCAATGTTCAAACTGCCGGCATACATAATTAATTAACTATACGGGGCATTATCTGCGAGGAAAAGTAACGGAGGTGAAGTTGTGCACTTTATTTAAAGCTCATAATTCATGGTCAGATGTCACGTGCATTGCATGATATTATTATGAACAGGTTTTATACCATCCATCTCATCGTGGTAATTATCAACCTATATATATAATACCTTATTTTTTACTCTTCATTTATTTTCATACAAAATTAAAAATTAAAAAAAAATCTAAAAATTCAAAAAATTTGAAATGTTACATAATTTGTCTTTTTCATGATTTTTAGATATTTTTATAAATTTTATGATTTTAATTTTTTAGATTTATCCCTAGTTTTAATAAAAAAAGAAAATAATAATAAAAATTGAGAAGATGATTTGTGACCCACTTGAAAAAGATGCCAAAAACGAGGACCAAACGACATTCAAATAAGGATGTAATTGAAAATGGATAAAATTCAAGGAACTTGATTTTGAATTAATTAGTGTGAAATTAAAAAAAAAAAAAAAAACAAGAGATGAGGAATTAAACAATATTAAGAAACTAATTGAAGAAAAAAACAATGAAACATAAATTGAAATTGAGAAAAATAATCCAAAAATGATTTAAATTGATTTTATCCCGCACTCTAAAAATCCTTACATAAACATCATTTTTCTTCATTTTTGGGAGGCACAATGATTTTCCTATCCTAAAAACCCTAGCCTCTATCACTCATTTCTCTACTAAACAAAAATCTTAACCTCCATCACCCATCTTCCACCAAAAAACACCACCTTCATTATTCAACTATCACAAAACACCCAACTTCTCATCACCCTACAAAATAAATAAATAAACAAACTAGCCAATGTATAAAAAAATCATTATTTATCGTCTCTCTAAAAAAAAATTACAAGACACGATTCCTATGAGAAAAAAAAAAAAAGGATTCTACCAAATAATCCCTATAAATGGTCGCCGACTTGGATCATCCTCGAGTCAACATGCGACCAATGGGTGTTCCTCCCTTGAATCAACCATTCTTTGGCCAAAATTATTTTGATCCATCACTAAATCCTACCATTCTCGACTGGTTAGGAAAGAAGACAACGTCGGAGAAGAGAGAAATAGAAGAGAGAAGCTACAGGACCCGACCCAATTATGTATATCGTCATTTTTCTACCCAAACCAACAACCCCTATCACCACATAAATGTCTCTCACCATCCTAGAAGCATTCCTCATTTAAAACCCTAACAAAAACTCATCGAATCGATCAAATTGAAAAGGAGGAAAGTCGATCGACTCGTTTAAACCGTCCAACCGGACCCCTTTCAATCATCATTTTTTAGTCAAATTATCTCTTTTTAAGGCTAAAGAAATGCTCTAACAAGTCCTACGAATATCTTTGGCTAGATTTGGAGCTTCAAAATCAAGTATCGTCATAAGAGTCGAAGAGAAAAAAGAGAAACATTCAACTAAAACTTTAGTAGCGTCAATCTCCTTCCTCCATCAACGGCAACATCCGCCACCATCATAGACAGTGTAGAGTGAGCCTCCCTTAACCCTTCCACATGCTTGGAGCTGGACGACGGCAACGTGTGCGATACACGTATCGATAGCATTTTGGTAATTTTATCTTTATGGCCATTTTGGTCCTTATCTAATGGCATCGTATGGGCATTTTGGTTCTTTTCTAATCGCTTTATAGGAACATTTTGGTCATTTTCTAGTAGCATAGCAAGGCTATTTTAGCCATTCTTTAGTTTCCATTTGGTTTGTTTCTCTTACCTATTTACTTCGTAATTATTTTATGATGTTGTTTTATAACAATGCTAATTTTATTTTTATTATAAAACTTAGAAATATTCAGAGTTACAAAATTTATTTTAATGTATGGAGTTAAGTCGGTTATGATGTTAGACCAACGAGTCTTCGATTTATTAGAGATAGGTCGATATATTTGCTTGGTGTTAAAATGCCAAAAAAAATAATAATAACGAGTCAAGTCACATCGATTTTATTCAAGCATTTCACATAAATACTTTTAGTTAGTTACATTATTCCTCAACATGCCAATCATGTCAAGACTTTAATTTGGATTTGATACTAAATTGATAAGACTCATAAATTTAAGAACTTGACATTAATTTAATATGATGACATAGAAAAAAATTTGATAATGTTTTCTTCGCATAGATCAAAATAAAACAAGAAAAGAAAAGAAAGCGTTTTAAACTATTTTAACAAGTCTCTTATTCAATAGAGACTAATGTTAATTCTAAATCAATCACATTTTAATAATTAAGTCATTCTTTAATATACTCGGTTATGTCGATATTTAAACCGGATTTGATATTGAATGGGCGAGATTCTCCACGACAAAGTTCAACGATCGATTCAATATGATGTCATATACAAAAATAAAAAAATTAATTTGGTATAAAAAATAAAACTTAAAATTTTGACTCGAGATCAATTTTTGTAAAAATAAAAATTTTTAGGAGATAAATTTTAGGATTAAACTAAACATGGTACCTTTCTTAAGAAACGATGCCTTTAAGTGCTTGATATCTTCGCAAAGATATAACTAACTTTTTACCATAAAATCTCCGAACCGGTGTTTATTTTAGGTTCTTAGTTACCTTTAACTAGGTAGGAACTTTAAAATTAATTATAACTCATATCCCAAAATAAATAAATTTTTAATTAATAAATAATAAAATTTTGAAAGTCCCACGAATATCGAGTAGCGACAATATATTTCCAATCCGCTCCCGTAATATTATTTTTCTTATATTTTGACAAGTTTCTTAAATTTAAAATCACTATAAGAAAATAGAGGAATAACGATCTTTTATTAGCGACGATTTGGAAAATCGTTGCTAAAAATCCAAAATCGAGTAGCGATGTTAGGTTTTAGTTATGGTTTTGAAAACGATTATTGTAACCCTTGTAAAATCCGTAATTATATAAATTATACGTATC